ATTTTGAATAAATGATTTAACAATTAAAAATAAATGAAATAAAGCAATATCCAAAGTATCAAAGTATAAAAATAAAAAATGGTGCAAATTTAAAAGTACAAAATATTGATTAATAAGAAATGAAATAAATAAAAGTTGGAATAACAAAATGGAAATATAAATTTTTTATGTATTCAAAATATTTGGCATGTTTTAATGATTTTTAATAATTGCAATTTGATAAGCTTTGCTAATCCAATAAAAAAACGATAAGCCGTTCTTTAATTTAGAGTATTTAATTATCAATGAAAAAATAAAAAAATCAAAGTTTTCTATTTTCTATTGATAGGAATTTAATTTTTATTATGCTATATTCCTTGCTGTTTTTTATTTGCACTTATTTTTTACAATTTTGTAATTGCCTCAAAAATGTTTGTTCGTCGAAAAATAAAAAATCAAACATTTAGTGAATATTTGATTTTTTTTAAAGCGAAAAAATTCTTATTTAGCAAAATTAAATGACATACGGTATGTCCTTCTTCTCTCTCTCTATTTTTCAATCATTCCTTTAACCCTTCCAAATTTTTGATTAACAAAATTTTTTTAAAAAAAGTGTGAAGGGATTGAAATTTTAATCAGTTCAAAATTTTCATCATTTTGTTTCAAAAAGAAATTTTTTTTTTTGTAAATTGCGGTATTTTGTTAAAATGCTTTCTTTAAGACATGTAATGCTCCATTTTTTGAGATAATTTTAAATTTGTATGAAGATGGGTAAAAAATACACCACAGGTAATTAAAATTGATTGTCACTTCTTTCTCTTTTCCTTCCTTTAACGTTGTATTCCCGTTCCTCCGCGGTTTTTTCTTTTTCCCCCGCTTTTCTTCAATCTTTTTCTTCCACACTATCCCATAATGTGATATTTTGCTCAACTTAAATACTCAAAATTGAGGGAGAGCGCGAGAGAAAGAAGGGAAAAAACAACAACAAATAACTCTGCATGTTGTCTCTACAATTTGGTTTATTGGGTTATTGAAGTGGTTTGGGAAGGGAATAGGTGTGGGGAGGAAATGATTCGATTTTCAAGTGGGGGAAAAAAGATCGGGCTGAGAGAAAAGATTGAATATTAAAGTGGCTAAAAAAAAGAGCCAAGAATGATTTGATGTTCAAGTGGCTCAAAATAAGCGGCTAGAAATGATTTCTCAATGATTAGTTAATAATTGATTGATGAACATTAAAAAAAAAAAGAAGAAAAAAAAATGAAGATGAAATGAATGAATGAAATGATAGACAGATGTTCGCTCATAAAGTGGTCCTCTTTCCATCTTCACCAATCTGCTTTTTTCTTTTTTTTTTCGATTTTCTTCTAAACCTCAATAATAATCCCAAATACTTTAAAACCAAAAAGATGATGCAAAAAACGCAAAAAGATAATGAAGGAAAAAGAATTAAAATTGCGTAAGAAATAATTTAGGAATTTGAAGGTATTTTAAAATAAAATTGTAATTTGATTTAAAAGGAAAAAATTAAAATCAACAATTTAACTTTATTGGTAAATGCGGAAGTTTTTAATTTTTTGAATTAATTAATTTAATCAGCAAAGGAAAAGATAACTAAAAGAAATTTAATGATGAAAAAAATGTAAGTTTCATTTATTGTAATATTGTTATTTTGCTTAAACGAAATTTCAAGTTGATTCTTAAGTATTAGATCGATTCTTAAGCCAATAATAGCAACTATAATATCACATTGAATTTATTTTTAAATAAATGCAAAGATAAAAAAGTTCGTTGTATAAATATGGTATTCATTTTGAAATTTTGAATTATTCTAAAATCAATCACAATCTAAGAAAATGACCTGCTATTTTATTATTATACTCTTAATTTTTTGAAAAATTGCAAAATTAATCATAATCACTCAATTTCAGTGCAATTTTAATTGAACTTAATTTGTATAATATTAAACGTTTCAATCAAAAAACATCCAAGAAATTCAATTAGAAAAAGAAGATTAATAATATATAATAAGGAATATGATATTGATAAGGTTAACAATATCATACTTAGAAAAACCATTCCTGCTATATGACCATTAATTTTTAACTAATTAGCATAATTCTTTTTATAATTTTATTTGAGCAATTAGTGAAATACAATAATGATAATATAATTTGATGCCATCTAATAATACATGTGTTGATTTATTTACCTAAATATTAAATTTCATTTTTATACATAATATATTTCTAGTTTTTTGCAATATATACATATATTTTTGACATATAGTTTGTTTTCATGCTTTTATGCTTATGCTTATATATTTATAACACATACATATATTTTTATTTATTTCCATGCCTATATATATTTTCTTATTTTTCCTTCGACACTTTTATTTCAAAAATTTTTTCTTCTTAATCATCAGAAATTTTTATCTTATAGATACACATACAATAGTAATACTCTAAATAATTTTTTATTTTCAAATTTTTTTTTTTGATCATATAAAATTTATTTTATTAATATCAAGGAGAGAAATGAAAAGGCAAAAAAAAAGGGAGGAAAAATTTATGAAGTAAACATTGGAAAGACTGAAAGGATGAAATGTACAGGCAGGCAGTTTTATATGATTTCCAAGGAGCGATATCGAAAGAGGTGAGGATGTACTTGAAGCTTGAAGTTGAACCTGAATTGCCATCTCGAGACTTTTCATAAATGACACTTGTAGAGAATACTTTTCACATCCTTTTTGCCTTCTATCTTCCCTCTCTCTCTCTCCTGAATTTTGCACAGTGGAAAGAGTTGAAGTAGACGAACCTATAAGCAGCTTCTTTAAGCCTACTCAAAAAAAAAGAACCTCGAAGTACTGTGCAAGTGGAAATTTGTTGTCTATTCCATATTCAATTTATCGTCAAAATTTTGAAGTTAAAGAAAATCTAATTTCAACAAATCAGTTTAATCATTCTTAAAACTAATGGTGTTATTTATTTATTTAAAGAAATCAATTATTAATTATTGTTTTACAAATTTTGTCAATAATAGCAAAATGCATATTACAATAGTATAAAGGATTGTTAATATTTTATCATGAAAGAAAAAGCAAAAAAAAAAAATCCTTCTTCAGAAGTATTAGCCTTTTACACGTATTCATCGATAGTTTGATTCATGGCACTGTACAGTATCTCTTATAATGCTATTTTTTTTGTTACTCCATTCAATTTAGTTCATTATTGATTATTCAAGTTTGTTAATAATTCAATTCATCAGCACTTTTCTTATTTTTATCTTTTCTTTGGAAGAAGAAATGGAGATGAAAATTTAAAAAAAAAAAAAAACTAAATATATGATTGAAATTTTATAATAAACTTTTCACATTAATAATATTTATGACTGGTTACATAATGATGAGTAAATTCGATTCTACTAAATCAAGTAATATCAATAATATCTTAACTTGTACTCTTCAGTTGAATATATTATTTCTCAGACAGCATGCTCACTTACCAGAGACAAATGAGTTAATCTTGTAAAAAATTGTTGACCTCATGAATTGACACACAAATTAAGCCGAAAATCTAACAATCATTCAGGATGGTTGTATTTTTCCTTGTTTTTTTTTTTTTTATAGTTAGATTTGATTAGTGTATGTTTTCTTAAATGAGAATGAACGTAACTAAGATAAAATGAATAATCTGACCTTATATTTCTACGTTTATTTTCAAATTCAGCATTAACGAATAGCTGAAATTGAAAGGATATGGAAGAAAAAAAGAGAAGAAATGTTAAGAAATGTTAAACCTTTACAGATGGATAGTACAGGAGTAGTGGAAATTTTGGTAGGAACGTATCAGATTACTTTAATGTGCTTTTGGAAAAGATGTGAAAATGAAGGTGACACTTCACGTTCTACTTGAAGGACTTGAGCTGTTGTTATCGAGAAGTTTTTGTGTAAACATATGAAGGAAGGTAACTCATTATCATCATCATGACAAGTGTCAGTATACTTAACGGATATTTTCTAGCCAAAGAAATATTGAATAATAAGTTAAGGGACAATTTAACAAGATTATGATAATGATCATAGTTATGATAAATATAAATGATAGTATGTTAATTATCTAATTTTTAGCAAAAAATTTTCTGTTATGTTTTAACAAACAAATTAAGATATTATTATTTCTTATCCAAAATAAAATTAACATTGAAAACATAGAAATTTGAAAGGGAGAAAAAAAGATTAATAGAGAAAACATACAACAGAGAACAATGATTTTAAAAAAAAAAAAAGCTGATGATCATGGGAAACATACAAAAATAAATCTGATA